TTTTTTTTTTTTTTTTTTTAGGGGGCTAGGGTCAGCTTAACTCTCTTTCTCCGGCAAGTGGCAGAAGTTTTTGGTTTATGGCCTGGTCATGAATCCCGTGGTCAGTGGCTTCCACAATTTGACGCTCCCAGCGGGGAAGGGTGCCGCCTTAAAACGGCTATAATTCCGTCAAATGGTGATGGATTTGTTTGTGCGAGCGCCTCAAACTATTCGTTATTGGACAAAGGATCCCCCACAATACGGGTGGAAATAGGTCGTGAATATAGCACAGGATGAGGGGGTTCAGATCTTGAGGTTGGTTGGTGAAATCGGTACCCCAGAAATGCCACCCACGTCATAAGCCGGTGGAACAGGAGCCAAAACCAGCGCTTAATTAGCGAGCAGGGGAAATGCGGAACCAAAATTGCCGCTTAAGTGGGGAGCCAGATTCAAAGAGTTAGGATAGTGACAGCAGCAAGGCCGTGCTTACTTCAGATAAGGAACACCTCCCACCCCCCCTGCAAGAAAAAATCTTTGTTGTTTTTATCCCTCATCCTCCCCCCTCACCTCCCTCATCCTCCCCCTCCCTTCCCCTCCCTCCCTCCCGATCCTGTGTACCCAGCAGGAGTGAGTGAAGAGGAGCTGTCCTGATACTGCAGGAGGTAGTAACACCTGTGTACCTTCTCTCTCTCTCTCTCTCTCTCTCTCTCTCTCTCTCTCTCTCTCTCTCTCTCTCTCTCTCTCTCTCTCTCTCTCTCTCTCTCTCTCCCTCCCCCTCTCTCGTTGCTTGCTGTCTGCTGGGAGCAGCCCACTAGCAAACACACACTTTTCTTGCACAACACGTGTACACAAACGCACATGATATATGATATATATATAGATATATACACACAGAGTAATTCCAAAAGAATGAACCGATTTCACTACCCAGTTTTTTACTAAAGAAAAGCAATAGAAAACTCAAGCTGAGTCGCAAGTATTGTACTATCAATCAACTTTTATTTCCTGTCGGTGTTTCCTTCAAAGGAAGAACGATAGTATATCGAAATAGGTTTTTGTCCTGTTATTTCCTCATCAAAAGGAAGAACGATAGTATATCGAAATAGGTTTTGTCCAATAATATTTTCTTCAAAGGAAGAACGATAGTATATCGAAATAGGTTTTGTCCAATAATATTTTCTTCAAAGGAAGAATGACAGTATATCGAAATAGGTTTTGTCCAATAATATTTACTTCAAAGGAAGAACGATAGTATATCGAAATAGGTTTTTGTCCTGTTTTGATATTTACTTCAATGGAAGAACGACACGACACGACACCACCACCACCCCCCTGTGACAGCTATTCAAAAGTTACTTACCTAACCCCTCTTTCAAATGGTCACTGACTCTTTCCATAACGATGATTGAGAACTAAAGCAAGGCGTCATAAAAATCGGTTCCTTCTTTTTTAATCACCCTGTATATAATATGTATGTGTATATATTATAATATACAAAATACATACATATGTGTATATATTTATATTATACGTGTGTTTGTGTATACGTATGTGTGCGTATGTGTGTGTATAATATGTATATATCACACACAATTTTTATACGGATGTGGGATGTTATGAACACGCGGAGCAGTGCATGGCTCTGAGATTTCTCTATCATACCCTCACTAACGACGCAGCTACGGACAACGCTATTAACGGCATGGTGTGCGACTTGTAAATACTATGTGATGTTTATGTGTCTGTCTGTGTGTCTGTGTAGCCTTGACTTAAAGATGAACTTTCAACTACCTAACGACGAAAACAATCCCTCACATCGTCCAAAGCAAAGACAAGATTGTGTGTGTGTGTGTGTCAGTAACCACTGTTCAAAACTTTTTTGTTTTTTATTTTTTATTTTTTTCTCATTAATTTATTTATTTCTCTTTCAATTTATGTTT